ATTTTCCCGGACATGTCCGGCTTTTTGGGATTTCCCCCCAGATGGGGATTTGGAGCCCAAAAAGCCGGACATGTCCAGGAAAATCCGGACGTATGGTAACCCTAACTTAGAGTGGAGAGCCAGCCCCACAGCACAGGAGCTGCAGGAGCCACCACTGTGTGAGGAGTGCCAAGCAGGACTCCATAAATTAAACCTATGGGAGGGGGGGGGAAGAGAGAAAGAGAGGGTAATTTCAGTTCCACACAGGGCCAGGAGATTTTTCTCCTTCCGCTAGATGGAGGAGTCAGCCCCACAGGTTCTCAGTGTCCATATCAAAATGGCACTGGAAACAATCCCAACAAGACTCAGTGACCCAAAATCTAGCAAAGAACATGTGATGAGAGGACAATCCCTTCCTCACAGCGTTTACAATTTAAGTGAGAATTAGCAATATGGCACAGAGGTTGATTCTGATCCATTGCGCGCTCTCTCACTCTCTCTCTCTCTCTCTCACACACACACACCATCCAAATTCAGTCTACACTACAGAGTTTTGTTGACAAAAAGGCAGCTTTTGTCAAACAAAACAGTAAAGGTGTACACACTGCGATATGACTTTTGGCGGCAAACATGCCCTGTTTCAGCAACAAAATAAAACCACCCTGACGAGAGACATAAGGCTTTTTGTGCAAAATTTTCATTGACAAAATGCCAGTGTAGACACGGCGCTTGATTTTTTCACTTTAATTGGCCTCCAGGAGGTGTCCCACAATGTCCATCCTGACCGCTCTGGTCAGCAGTTTGAACTCCACTGCCCCACAGCCAGGTAACAACCATCTGCCCCTCCCCCTTAGAAGCCCTGGGAATTTTTGAAATTCCATTTCCTGTTGGCTCAGCGTGGAGAGGTCTCATTGTATCTTCCCAGGTGACCATGGCGGCTTATCGCAGCAAATGCTCTCCCGCTTGGACCACTGCGGAGCTGCTGGATCTGCTTGGTATATGGGGAGAGGAGGCTGTGCAGTCCCAGCTACACTAGAGTCATAGGAATTTTGATACCTACGGGCAGATTTCTCAAGGCTTGTGCGAAAAGGGCTCTGATCGGGACATGCTGCAGTGCAGAGTGAAGATAAAGGAGCTGAGGCAGGTGCACCATAAAGCAAGGGAGGCAAATAGTCGCTCCGGTGCTGCACCTAAGACCGCCAGTTCTAGCCTCAGTGGCAACCCCACCTCCATCACCAAAAGCCCTGTGGATACTTTGGCGAGCCTGGAGGCGGTGGAAAGAGGACCTAACCTGGAGGATGAAGTCATTGATGAAGAGGTGGAGTTAGATGACAAATGTGGAGCTCCTAGCGGGGTCACCCAATGGGGAAGGCAGCCAGGAACTGTTCACCACTCCAGGAGTGTCTAGCAAGAAGCAGGAGAGGAGACGCCAGGAGAGGAGACGCTGTGGTTTGTGTAGTGCAGAGGTGGGTTCAGAATATAGATATATACAAGTCTGGCCTTGTTTCTGCTTGCTGGACAATCCCCTGTACAGCTAATCAGTACAGCAGAACAGGGTGTTGATGCACAATGCGATCTTACGGGAATCCTCCAGAGAGATCTCTAGGAAAATTTCCTGGAGGTACTCTGCAATCCTCTGCCGAGGGTTCCTTGGCAGAGTTGCTTTGTTCCTACAATGGAGGAAGAAAACTTTCCCACACCATTTAGCAATCACTTGTGCAGGGACCAAAGCAGCACACAGGCAAGCAGCATAGGGACCAGGGCAGAAGCCACAAGTGTGTAGTAGATGTGCCCTTGCTTCCCTGCTTACCCTCAGGAGTGAGGCATCTGCTACAATGACCCCTGCCTGTGGAAAAGTGTTGGAGAATTTTTAAATTTTTCCCCTAGCTGGCTGCAGCGCAACTTTGTTGAATCCTCTCTTCCCCATGTATTGCCCCTCCCCACCCTCAGCCAACACTCACCATGCTTTGGGTGTTCTCCGAGATGTGTACTTGCCAAGGGAGAGTGATTGTTATGTTACCAGAGGTGTATTTTACTGAAATGTTTCAATGCTGTGCACGAATTTAACAACCATGCTTCCGTGCATTGTTCCTTGTGCTTCGGCAGATGTGGCCTTGAGGAACACCCCACGCACTGAGTGTCTCCACCAGATAAGAAAGTGCCCACACGGAGCAAGAAGACATGTTCCGGGAGGTGCTGCACTTCTCCAATGCAGAGAAAAGGGAACACAAAGAGTGGAGGGAAGCCGAAAGGCAGGACAGAAAAGAGTCAGGAGTTTGTTAAGGACGCTATTGAGCGGATGATTAAAGTCATGGAGGAGCAAACGCAGATTCTGAAGTCCTTAATAATGTTGCAGACGGAGCAGATGCGTACCCACCCTCCCCTGCAGCACATTCAGGACTCTTCCATGTCCCTCTCCCAAATTCCGCCTCCACAGTCCTTCCCACTTTCCCCTTCACTCCCTCGGACAACTTTCAAAATGATAGCTGGACCTACACACAGCTCTGAAAGTCTGCCCTTGCCTGGTACCTCCTTTCCCACCAAGCGTCTTTGCGTGCATGCGTATTGTTTCTTGTGAAAGAAAAGCAAAGTTTTTGAATGATAACTCATCTTTATTTGTTTCCTACAAATTGAGATAGCAGGCACTACCAATACATACACAGGCAGTTTAATCATTTGATTACTGGAACGTAAGGCCCCAAATTTCACCATTGCTTCCTAGGAAAACTACATGTAACGTAACATTGTAGGACCAATCACAGAGATATACATCACTGGTTCTCATTTTCAAAGTGTTGCTTCAAAGCCGCCCTGATTCGAATTGCCCCCCTCTGTGTCCTTCTAATAGCCCTGGTATCTGGCTGCTCAAAATCAGCAGCCAAGCAGTCTTCCTCAACACTCCATCCCTGAGCAAACCTTTCACCCTTAGATTCTCAAAGATTATGCAACATGCAACACACAGCTATGACCATGGGAATATTATCCTCATGGAGGTCTAACCTGCCATAAAGACCTCACCAGCACACCTTT